TAAGACTGGACTGACAAGATAAGATAAGACTCCCTTAATCTTTCCTACTGAACTGATAAGATAAGAACTGTATCTAGCTAGAATTAGATAAGATGAGAATCAGCAAATCTTGCTCCCTTTACTGCTGCTGCCGGCGGTGATATGTCTTCCCAATAAAAGCGTCCACATCACTAAGCCTGAACTACCAGCATCTCAAATTACCTAACAATTACAACTTGTCTCCCTCCTAGAGTTCCAGTCTAATGTGAACAAAAATTGCAAACTACCACAAAAATAATAGAAGAAAAAGAATTCTTAAAGCAATCAATTGAAGTAGATTGAGAATTGACAAATCAATTCTAAATAATAGTCTACTAGAAAGCAAAATAAACGAAACTCAACAACCTTAATCCCCTATGGCTGAAAACAGAAATAACTCAATARCAATAAGAATAACAAGATGAAGAGTGCATGTAAATAGTGTTTAAGAGCTTTAATAGCCAGCCTCTGAAATCATATAAAACATCAAATACTAACTACCTAAACTACCCTTCATTGTTTGGAACTACTAAAAGGCATCAAACTCTATCAATTATAGTCCCCAAGATACCCTTATATTGAAGAAACAAGGATAAAAAACAAAAGTCACCTCAATTTTCCCTAACCAAAGGAACTATTATAAATCACTAACTACGGACCCAATTGGCCAATGTTTTCGAACTGCCATTGACCCAGGACTTGGCCAAAAACCGTTGATTTGGTCAACGATCCACTGACCCGGGCAGTCGATTCATCGACCTGTTTGACCCATTCAATGGTTTTTGGCCATTTTTTAGTTTAATTGTTTTTAATTTTTTTTATTTTTTCAGTTTGCATGGGCCATTTGTTCGAACCAGACGGTCGAACCATCGACCCGAAAACCAGTGGCCAAAACGGTTCCAGTTCTGGGTTGGTTTTAAAAACCTTGCAATTGACATCAAACATAAAACAAAAAAGCTCTATCTTTCAGTGATCCAATTTGGCATTCCCAATAATCCAGCAATACCAACCTCCTTTGATGAAAGTCTTCCTATAGTCTAATTAGTTTGAGATTGGAGGGTCTCCTCTACACCTCTTAAGCTCCAATATATCCAAATTTCAGCTAAATCCAATGCTTGGATTGAGAGAAATTGGTTCTGCAACTACTGCCCAGAAGTTGGACTGTTGACATGAATAGTCTTCCCCTAGATCTTTCTCTTAGCCTTCTTATGAGGTTTGGTCAAAATTTGATGAAAACCATCTCCATCACAGTCATTCTAGCAAATGCAAGGCAGCAAGGGTTCTTGACAATGTCCTGCTCCCTCCAAACACCTTGGTACAGCGGATGGAGTGAAAGCAGAAAAAGCAGGACATAAGACATCCAACAGCTAAGTTTGCTTCAACTCGAGCTACATACCGTCCTCCTCAAAATCACAAATTGGCCACTCAAACAAGCCCATCTCAACACCAAAAACAGCCCCAATCTCTTCTCCCYGGTCTTCCCATCATCAACTTATTCATGAAATTTTAACTCTCTTAAATCCTGGGAGACTAAGGCAAAATCCTCTGGAAATGCCTTCTCTTTCAAGCAACTTAGGCCACCTCTCACAAATGGACTTAAGTTACTTAACTTCAAAGTTGGATTTAGAAATTAAAGAACATGGACTTAACGAGTTTATAGGTCTACCTTTAGAAGAGAAAACTAGAAAATAGAAAAGGACCCTTGAAGGTTCACAGGATAAGAAGCCTGAAAAAGTCTTTCTTTTTGTCCTATAAACCTCCCCTACATTTTGACCCTAACAAAAACCTCGTGTAATGTCATGAAAAAGGTGCAAGTACCTCCCTTCCATAAGTTTTACACTAACAAAGGCATTGAAGTTACCAAAATGTCCTTATTAGGTGTTATTGTATTTAACGAACACTAGTTCATTTAATAGTGTATGGACTCTTTCGTCTCCCCTGGGTTTTCTTTCAGCACTTCCCTCCAGGCCCCCCAACTGAAGAGGGGAAGAGAGAGAGAGAGAGAGAGAGATTTGATGTTCCAATAGGCACCAGCATGACAACATCTGGTTGGCAGCCAACAAGGGACGAAGAAACATCACTCAAAAWTCTCTTTATTATCCACTGAAATTAAGAAAGGAAAAAAAAAATGAAAACAAAATTTTTAAGCCCATAACCTGCATCACCATCACCACCCATTGATCTCTAATTACCCAATCTGAGAAATTGGCTCTTTTTTATTCGTTTTTCTTTATTTCATATTATTTTATCAAAGAAATCACACAGTAGAAACCTGCCCTCCAAAAATTTAGCAGTGGTGGTGTATAATTGAACTATAAGAAAAGAAATAAGAAAAACATAACTTGCCTCCAAAAATTTATACACAATGCCTTTGTCACCTATGGATCAGTAGCTCCTACTTACTTACATACCTCAAACATGCTCACAGAGTAACCATCAATAGCCACTTCTCCCTAACATTATGACCATGCCATCTCGGTAGCAACAGTTTAGTAATAGAAGAAACCAACAAGAACAAGATCACCAACCCCAGTAACAGTGGCGCCCAAGGTAGATGACCTGCTGTGTGCACTCTCGTCGACTGCAGGTTCAAGACTTCAAGTGCAGATTCCATAGAAGCAGCTATAGTTGCAGTGAGACCATCACCATGTGTTGTCTCACCTGCAGTGGGGCCTTCAACACCT